CGTCTGTAATTTAGTGGCAACCATGGCAACATTAGTCCAACTTTAGATTGTGAGCTGCCAGCGTTGGTTTCCCCTGACAGCCTTGTAACCACACACCCGTGTTTATGTTCTTTGGGTTAACACGGTTATCTCTGTACGTAACCTGAGCACTCCACCTACGCGGCCACTTGGCATACGGATCTGTGTGTGTGTGTGTGTGTGTGTGTGTGTGTGTGGGTGTGTGTGTGTGTGTGTGTGTGTGTGTGTGTGAACTTGCAGCTGCAGGAGTTGCATCTCTCTCTCTCTCTCTCTCTCTCTCTCTCTCTCTCTCTCTCTCTCTCTCTCTCTCTCTCTCTCTCCCCCCCCCAGAATGAGGTGCAGGGACTTGCCAGTATTTTCATTTCCTCTGGAGGCATTTCCGCACACTAACAAAGCCCGGCCCGTGCGATGAAACGCAAAGGAAGCAGCCTTTATGAAGGGCGCAAGCCATTTGTGTTCGTGCGTGCGTGCGTGTGCAATGTTTGCACCGCTGACCCCGGCCAACAGTTTGTTTCATGCAAATTTACTTTAGTGCTCAAGTCAAGTTCGCTCCGGGCTTATGTTTGCTCTGTAACAGGAGGACAAGTCTCCTCTGTATGGCGTTCACAAGACAAAGTTGCCTTCTGTTTGCTTCCAATTAACGGCCACAATACCTAGCTTATCGCTTCACGTTTTCTTGGGCCTTTTTTTTTTTTTTTTTTTAACACGCCTTGTTAACCACTGACCCTTCATAGTTGCACTTCCTCCTGCGATGCTTGCCAGAAGGAAATGTGCTCAGCAAACCCAGGTTGCAATTCTCCAGAGGGTCTGACTCTGGTAAAGAGATTGAATTGAACCAATAACAGTAGAAAACTATTAAATGTTTTTACAACACCGTTGAACTCAAGTCGTAAACGTTGAACCCTTTATCCTCACGTCTGCGATAAATAAATGGCGCTTCCCAATCGAGTCCATGCTATGTTTATTTAAGGGCACGTTTTTATGGGGTGGCGTGCTTGAATATTAACTTTTCTCCTCGCCATGCGCCAACCTTTTGTTTCGGGCGGTTTTGCAAAGCACAATTATGCCCGAGACCGCCGCGCAGGAGGGAGCGAAAATGTTTTTCAAGCGGGACAACGGCGCACGCAATCTGGCAAACGCAAAGCCAGCGAGCGAGGCTCGTCCACAGCCGGGGCCCCAGTGACACACGCTCCTGCCCATAAACAGGGATTTGGCCTTCTGGAGAAAATAACCTTGATAATTACTGAGTGCGAAGAGACCTGCCCACTTCAGGAGGGAGGGAGAGCGACAGACATAACCATCGACGCATTCCTCCGTGCTGAGTCATGCTGGTGCCGAGTTTCCCCTCCGTGTGCGCGGGTGCAAAGGGCTGCCGGCGCCACGCTTGTCGGCGAGGACATTTCGGAAGTTAACGAGAGCGCGAACCTCCGCCAAGGCTTTGTCACCTGCAGTGACATTATGTGACTGTCCAGAGTTTTTCAGCTCTTAATGCAATCTTACCAGTTGACCGATGACCTGCTGCCTCACTGTCCTGTCCCCTACTTCGTCCCCCTGTGACACACACCGTGAGGACACGCATACCAGTCCTGACTTCATCCCGAACGCCATCCTCATCCCCTCTTCTTCTTGTTTGGTATTCCTCCTCACCCCAATGCATTCCTAACATCTTCCAACTATGATTAGCAATCGTGTTTTTTTTTTTCTTTCTTTGCATCCTCTGTAACGTCTGGTGCCTCCCATGTCCTTGGAAAGATGCCTAATAAGCTCCGACACACACCGCTGTCTCTACGCTCCGTAGGCCTATTCTCCAGCGTCAGCCAGCACACACTCGAGTAAACAAAGCCCCCCCCCCACACACACACACACACACACACACACACACACACACACACATACACATACACACACGCATTCACGTACACACACATATGCAACGCCATCCTAGCGTGCTAATAGACCCGCGCACCAGCCCGCCGAGGACGCTGTCGACGCTAGCTCGCTAACGCTGACCTTCCGCGTGCCAATCACAACAAATCCGTTGCCGCCGTTCGAGTACAGCGAGGAAAGAAAACGCGGGGCAAATTGAAAGCAGAAATCCCCCCGTGGTGTGAGACAAGATGAGCCTTGGAATAAATTATTTAGACGGCAGCCTCTCGTTTTCCTGCACGATTCTCGCCTTCTGCTACGTCTAATGGCATCTGTGATGACGCCCAGTGGAGATTAATCCACATGTAACACGTGTGTGTGTGTGTGTGTGTGTGTGTGTGTGTGTGTGTGTGTGTGTGTGTGTGTGTGTGTGTGTGTGTGTGCGCTGCCCCCCCTCACCTCACTTCTCATCCATCCTGTTGTGTCGCGTGATGCTGAAACAAAGGCGCGACAAGGGAATTTGTTTCTTCTTCTCCTTCCTGGGTGTAAATAAGCAACTAAGCGAATCAATGCTTCCATTTGTTGCCTCTCTGATGGTGTCTGCAGGTGCCAAAGGCATCCATTTTTCCTTGCCGTCAACGGGCGCAAAACGCACCACAAAACCGCAAGTACTTTCATTCTCTCACTGTCAAAAAAAAACAAAAAAAAAACGGCTCACGCAGTTCTCCAAATAAGATGCGATGCGTCTCGCTCTTTGTTTGTCATCCGCATGTAATGTTTACTCTTGAACAGGCGTAAAACAAGGGGAGAATAAACTTTCTATATTTAAACAGCAAAAGGTTCAACCTAACCATTTAAAAAAAGCTGCTAGCATAATGTTAATATGTAACGCAAAAGTACATAGAGGGGCGAATGGAATTTACCGTCGACATTGCAGTGATTATAAACCTTCAAACAGCTGTTATCTTAACACACGCAGAGCAGAAATGCAAACGCTTATAACATTTGACATTCCTCACAGTCATATGTTCTCTTTGCTCTGTGGGAACAACGCTATGATTGGAGTCAGCACAAGTAAATTGGGGACCTTCTCTGTTTCTTCTTCTTGCTCTTAACTATGCTGCATCCCTCCAAGTAGACCTCAGCGTGTTGTGACAACTATGATTAAGGTGCACAGTTTTAAATTCGGACTTGCCAAAGTATTATTAAAATTAGGCTTTACACGATCAGGAGTTCAGAGCCCATCACCAATAAGCGAATTAAAAAAAGAAAAAAAAACAATAACTGATCAATGATCTGATCAAAAAAACAGACCGATCTATTTCAACAACTTTTTAAAAAATTCATGAGTACAAGCGCTATTTAAATTGGATAGATAGTTTAAACACAACAGCAGCAGAGACAAATGAGCAGGTGCGACTGTTAAGGAAATGCCAGCAGCGGCTTGTGCGTTGTTGTGTGTGTGTGTGTGTGTGTGTGTGTGTGTGTGTGTGTGTGTGTGTGTGTGTGTGTGTGTGTGTAAGCATCAAGTGTTGTTTGCATTGTAATTATTGCAAAGTGTGCTCACTTGATGAAAGGCATTGGCGGTTGCTTTCATTGTTAAACCATTGGTTCATAATTAATTTTACAAGATTTCCAACCTTCTGTGCTTGGAACAAATGGCTTTTCAGCTGTAGTGCTTTCATTTTTATGTTACGGTTTCAAGGTTAGAAAGGTCTATATTAATACAACTTAGCAACGGTTACTTAACAAATGTATTAGACCAGAACACAATGTAAGATTTACGTCACCGTTAATCTATCTAGCTAGCTGTTTACCTTTTATAATTTGTTCTTGAGCTTGTCTTTTGAAAAGGTTTGTTCATATCACAACATTGACAACATTTTGAGAATCCCCAATGGCTTACAATTAGCTAACACAGGGAGAAAATGCAAAATGGCTGAGATTTGGACCCAGAACATCAGAACTGTGACATTGACATGCTAACCGCTAAGTCACTGTGCTGCCCTTATTTGTTGCAGCCATCTAAAATCGCCTGAAGTCTTCATTTGACAACGATATTATCTCTAAAGTCAATGTTGATCATGCCTTAGTAAATGGAAAACCATCTAGAGCGGGTATAAAAAGTCTCCACACCCCTGTTTGACTGTTTTTTTGTGATTTAAAAAAAAACAAAAAAATAAACAAGCTAAGGGTATATTCACACCTCCACCGTTTGGTCCACTTGAAACGGCTCAGGGTTCATTTCAGAGAGAATCAGCAGTGTCTTTGTGCAACCGTGCGCGTTCCTAAAAGGAACAAATGATCATTTACCAACAGTAATTGTCACTACTCACTGTATGATTGTCCTTAATTAGCATCTTTATCTTGCAGTAACAATAATGGGCCGAGCGCAAACAGGAACGTCGTCTTAGTGACGGTTCAGTGGCTAACAGTCAGCGCGTAAACACAGAGAACACACCGAAATGCCAACACAATTGCACAAAAAAGGGTGCCAAATGAGCGCACGGCTGTCTCTGTGTTTAAGTGCCCCCGTCTATATTCCATACACCAGTGTGAAATTACAGTATCAGATCATAGTTAGTTAATTAAAAGGCATATGACTAATTAAATTGGACTCAAGCATTATTTGAGGGGGTGAATAAAGCACGGAGGCGTATTTAGCTGTTAACGGTAATTAAATGCGGGGCAAACGCTAGCCTGTGAAGATACAATATTTAAGTCGTCCTCGCGGACCGTACAGACTGACAAGATATTAACAATAAAGACGGAAGACGTTTTTCTACTCATCGAGCAGGAAAGATGAAAGCCTGCAGACTTAACTGACAGCTGCTTTGGCAACTCGACGATACCGGAGAGAAAAAGGAGAAAAAAAAAAAAGCAACTCGACGTTTGTCGTTTCAAGTGTTTTAAGTGTGATATTTGTCAGGGATTAGATGTGCACGTTGTCAGCCCTTGTTACGCGCCTCCAATCTGTCAGAAGCGCGACAGGGGCGCTTTATTACATCTCGATAAACGACGCCACCTCCAGTCTTGTTTGCCTATCACTGAAAAGCACATTGTGTTTTGTCACACGCCTTGATGCGCGTCGCTCTTTTCGCTTTGTCTCGTTTCAGAAGCGGGCCTGTGATCGATGAGGATTAAGGCGCGGATTTTGTCAACGTGAAACGCGGGATCACCCTCCTCCACCGGTAAGCATCTTGATTTCACACTGAGGTTTCCAGTCCAAGCTTTAGCTTGTCTGGGGCGCCAGGAAATGGAGTGCTGGAGTTTTGCCAGCCAGAAAAAAGACGTGTCCACTTTGAATGATGCTTCACACTGGCGTACTTTGTCCTTGGAGTGAAGAAGTCAGACAGTAATAGTGCCTGCTTGCTTGTAAAGAGTGCGAACAGGATGATTGAATGGAATGAACTTGATTCCAAAATAACCTGCTAGATATGATCAAAAATAAACACTTGTTCATGTTACCTTAGCCTGTTGCTTTGCCTTCGTCAGCGGCAGGATTATTCTCCACAGTCTCCACTTTGCTGCAGGGGCCCTCAATCATCTTACACATTAATACAGTTGCCTTTACATGTGGGCCACATACAAGACATACAAATGTACTGCTAAAAATGAGAGCAGTTAAGATATGCTAAATTTCGCTTCGCCTGTTACTGTGCCACAGTCTCCACTTAGCTGCAGCAGCCCAATATGGCAATTGGACATGGTATTGGTCTGAAAAAAAAGTGGTATTGAGCATCCTTAAAAAAATAGATAAATAGCAGTCAACATATATGCTAAAGTTAGCTGTTCCTGTGTCTTAGCTCTGAAAATTGCGGTTTTATACTCCACAGTCTCCACTTAGCTGCAGCAGCCCAATATGGCAATTGGACATGGTATTGGTCTGAAAAAAAAAGTGGTATTGAGCATCCTTAAAAAAATAGATAAATAGCAGTCAACATATATGCTAAAGTTAGCTGTTCCTGTGTCTTAGCTCTGAAAATTGCGGTTTTATACTCCACAATCTCCACTTGGCTGCAGCGGCCCTCTGTGTCGTCTTCCATAAAATGTGTCATCATGCTGAGCAGAACATTCGCAAAACAAACCACACGCGAATGCGAGCTTATCTTCTGTCTGTAACTTCATTCCGGAACATGCAGCATTATACTCCATAGTCTCTACCTTGCTGCCGCTGCAGTCCCGATTTTCCTCTGATGTAAAATGTGTCTGCTTACTTCATGGAATGTAGCGTGTAATATTTATTGCTCGAAATGACAAAAATGAGCACACATGCTAATGTGACTTGATCGTCACTTCATGAGTAGTATTATTTGTACTTCACAGTCTGTTGTGTGCCTTCTTGCTGCCCTCGGTGTCCTCTCGAATCAAAACCCTCTCTCTGCTGACAAGTAAATATAGTTGACATTCCCTTGTTGCTGGCTAGAGTTCCTCCTGATGCCTTCAATGCAGCGTGGTTTTTGCAGTTTCCCGCAGAAGTGGAAAACCGTCTGCTCCAAACCGGTATTGTGCAGTGGAAAAGGACATAAAAGTACACACCCAAGACCAAAATTGAGACTTTTTGCCCTCGCTACCTTATTTTGGGCCACTTGCAAAATTGTTGACAGAGTAATTTGTGTTTGTGCACAACAGCATCAAAAACGCTGCAAGGTGAATAATTTTTGGTGGCATCTGCACATTGTGCAATATGCTAATGAGGTAAACTGCAAAAGCCAGATTGCCAAGAGTGAGGTGCGGGGCGAGGAAGGGGCGAGGGAGAGGCAGAGTGGAAAAAGGGAGGAAAACAGACGGAGGCCTCCGTAAATTATGGATACAACCTGCGATTTCCAAGAGGAAAAAGAAAGGCGCGGTGAAACCTCAAGTCATGCATATCAGATTATGCATCTACTACATTTTCTTATCATGGTCCATGAGCAATCATGGATTGCAATCTAGCTAGTTTGTGTGTGTGTGTGTGTGTGTGTGTGTGTGTGTGTGTGTGTGTGTGTGTGTGTGTGTGTGTGTGTGAGATGGTCGGAAAAAGTGGAAGCACTTACACATTCATCCATGTCAAGTCGCGTGTGGCTGTGCGCTCGAGCGTGCCTCCAAGTCAATATGACGTGTGTCCAAAGCCTTGTTGACATTTTTCCGCATTGTTCTGTTGCATTGGGTTTCATTTGCGTGCGCGAGTCCTCCTCGTCGCGTGACACTCTGTGACCCGTTAGAGTCGCGAGTCGCCGCGACGTTCGCATCGCGCAGATTATGTTGAAGATACACAGGATGCTGATACTTGCTTCCTTTTAATTAGAGCCATTTTGCTCATTATGTATTTTGCCTGCTTGCGCATTTCAACTAAGCTAAGGTGCCCCCAAGGCAACTTTGAATAATGGATTCATTCTCGAAGAGAGGTTTCTGTTCACTTATATATCTAAAGCCCCGTGAATACCAAAAAGTAAAATCAAATCAAATCAGGGCAGCTCGTTGGCCCATTGGTTCACCTTACAGTGCCAATGTCCTTGGTTTGAATCCGCGCCTTCCTGTGTGGCGTTTGCAAATTCTCCCCGTGCCTGCGTGGGTTTTCTCCAGGGTACTCCGGTTTTCTCCCACATTCCAAAAACATTCATGGGAGGTTGAAGGAACACTCCAATCCAGACCAAACTAACACATTTACGCTTGCTGGAAATGTGACCTCATTAGCTGATTCAAATGGCGCTCCGTTGAGGCACCTCTCAGTTGCTATACAGTGACCTAAAATAGGCTTCCTGAAGAGTGCCGCTCCGTTCTTATGACGGTTATCCACTGAGTGGTCGAGAGAGAATTGTCAACATGGAATTGGAGCAAACAAAATGATCCGCTGTAGGGACGGCTTACGGATCGCAATAACATTTTTGATATTCACTTTCCACTTGCTCCGACTTGTATTTAGCCTCTCCAGGAAGAAGAAGACATCACATGCATATGTTCGGGTTCTACCTACATTTTCCTGTCCCGAGTCCAAATCATGCCTTGCTAAGGTAGCTCGTATTGCTTGGTGGAAATTAGAATTTAGTATGACCCCCCCTGGTTCCAGACCCGCCTTCCTTTAAAAGTATCATGGAACCTTCTGGACATGATGTTCATATTTTCTAAAGGGGAGATTATCTCATTTCCATTCCGCTGCGATGCCCGCAATTCAATTTGGCCTGCCGTGTTAGAAGAGGGTGATGTTTTCTAAGAATTGGACCGGAGCCACACGTTGCACTTTAAAGTGAGATGGGTTCATAAACGATGAAGCGCTCCCTGATCTCGCCCCGCATGTAAATGTGTGTTAATGTGCAAAGTAGGTCATTTATTTGGAGCATAGTGTGCCGCTCTGACACAGTGGGGAATCATTTCACAGGCAGACATATAGTATCTTCTTGATTGGGGGATTTAGTCTGCTGATATGTTGTTAATATGTGGAGAATAACACGCCAGAGGGGAGGACTTTGGGGGGGGGGGGGTGTGATTTGGTGAAAATCGCCACAATGCGTCCAGAGGCAGCATCAGTAACCATAACCTCAGATAGCGGCCCGAAAAAAAATCAAGACAAAATCAGATTACCAAACAAACAACTAAGAGGATTAATTCGGATCTCTCTCTCTCTCTTTTTTTTTTTTTTTGGCCATCAGATGGAAATTAAATCTGCAGTCCATAAAATCCCCTTCCAATGATTTTCTATTTGACTTCACAGTCCTCATTTTTTGCTCACATATTTGGACGCCAGCTTTTTTCTTCTGT